AGTCTCCTCCAGCAATAAAGCGCGATCCGAGGGATTGGAATAAGGTATCAAGGAGGTTATAGGAGAGGGAATTACCAGGAGGACAGTATACAGCTGAGAATGTGAGATGGAAAGGGCGAGTTGAAAGGACTACAGAAGTTGATTGAATGTCATCAGTTGGAGTTGAAGGAATAAGGGAATGGGGTAATGATTTATGTATAAGGATGCAAGAACCGGCACGGGAGGTATTATCTGGGTGATCAGTTCTATAAGTGAAGTAGTCACGTATGTAGAAATGTATTCGTTTAGTAAAGTGAGTTTCAGTCAGTAAAGCAATGTCAATGTTATTATTATAAAGAAATAAGTCAAGTTCGTCACGGTGGTTATTTAGTCCGTTAGCATTCCATAAAAGGATAGTTAGGGGCTTTGTGCTCATCGTGGGAAATTGAATGGAATTTCGGTCAGGATTCTGGTGAGAAGAGTGATAAGTGGTTTTATGGTATTTTGGAGGTCCAATAGGAAGGATGAAAGAATGGAGGTTATATCAGATGGATGTTGATTGTGAATTGGATTCAGGATAGGTTCTTGTGGTGGATTAGGAATATTAGCTAAGGGCGGGATCCGTCGTTGTGCACGAGGTGGGTCTAGATTGGAAGGTACCTGTGCTGCACTTCTTTTCTGGGCGTTAGGATGGGACTGTTGAGGATGCTGCGGCGGTAATTTGACTCGTAAGAGTATATGATGAGGGAGAGTTTGCTGACGTGGAGGATGAGATTGGGGATTGTGAGGTTGAGGTTTGCATTGGGAGATTTGAGGCGCCTGAATTCGAGGCTGCTGCTTCTTCGTAGTGATTGGTGTTTTTCTGCTGAGGTTGAAGTCCTGCTGAGGTTGATCAATTTCTTTTGAAGTAGACGCTAGCTGTGTATTTTGAGTAGTCGTTTTTGGCAATTCTGGAAAATCTGATGGATTATCAATTTCAGGTAGATGGGTAAAACTTTCTTGGGTCAGTTTTACGCTTTTCGAGGCTATGATCTGAGTTCTCTGCTTATAAAAATGTTTATAAATGTTGCATCCTTTGTAGCTTGCTGGATGTTCTTCACCACAAAGGGCACATTTCGCATGCAGGTCTCGAAGTCTCTGACAAGTGTCTGATGCGTGTGGTCCGGCACATTTCACGCACAAAAAAAAAAAAAAAAAAAAACACACATATTAACATTTATTTTTGCCTTCCTTTTTGACTGACCACCCCAACTATTCTTCTCTTCATTATCCACGACATTCAACCAATTACCAATTATGAATCTATCCACACGGGGCCAACGACCAGATAACAACCGTCTTTCTGTTTCTCATACCTTGTTATCTGGTTATTTTCTTAGCCCTGATGGAGGCCTGAACTTCAGGTCGAAACGTCGGCATATGTAAAAAACAAATATTAACATTATTTTTGCCTTCCTTTTTGACTGACCACCCCAACTATTCTTCTCTTCATTATCCACGTCAGTCAACCAATTACCAATTATAAATAATAATAAAAAAGTGATTATTTTAAACATTTTTTTTAATAAATAAAAAGTTTATTTTTTATTATAATAGATCCCAGGTAATGGAAAGAAAATTAAATTGAAGTTTTGCAATCATTTATTGCAGTAATTTTTGCTGAATATACTTGAGGTAACCTGAAGGTACCTTTTAAGTGACGTGATATCAAATAACTTCAATTTTTTTTTAAGCTTATTAAGCAAGGAAGTTTTTCTAAAATCGAGTAAATCTATTATAGTTAGGACATTTATAATAGTGTTCAGAGAGCACATTCACACTCTATTTACAATAAATAAAAACAAATAATACAGAAAAATAATAATACTAGAAGACATTTTTTTTAATTATCGAATATTAATACATTCTGCCACATTAAAATTAAGGCTACATTATTTATTAACACAATATGTAGGATTTTTCTCGGATAAGGTCCAGGAAAAATAGGATATTACGATCATGGTGTAGGGTTTAATTGGTTACATAGAATGTAGCATCAACTATAGTTCGAAGGACTTAAGATTGAATTCGTTTGATGTTAGACCATGTTTCAGCCCCCCCCCCCCCACAGTTCAAGTCCGTATGTCCACATAGGTTTCAGGATTATATTGTAGATAAGTAATTTGTTTTCAATAAAAAATTAAGATTTTCTGTTTAGTAGTCTTTGTAGTTGGCCTTATCGTCGGTTGAGTTCTTGTCTTTTAAGTCTAGTATGTGGTTTCCATATTAGTCTTTGGTCTAAAAGAAAGCCAAGATGCCGGACCGTGTCCGAGGAAGGAATCTGGATTCAATTAAAGTGTAATGGTGGACAGGAATTGCGTAAGAGTGTAAAGGTAATATGTTGGCATTTGGATTCTAACTTTAAGGGTCAATTTTCGTAAATGAAGTTTGACTTCGGAAGGATGAACAGATTGAGGAGGCAAGGAAATTGGAATAGGAGATGTTCGGAAATCCTCTACTATTATGGTGTGGGTGGGACGGGATTCCGGGTGGGGAATAAATAAGTGAGAGAGGTGCCTGGCGAACTCCTCGGCTTTATCTTAGTGAGATGCTGCCCAGGAGCCGTCATCTCGCCGGAGGGGTTGGAAAATCTGGCGAGGTTTTGGTAATTTTCCAAAAGGAATTGTCACTAACACAGAGGGGATAGGTAGGAGTTAAAGGATTGAGACCTATAGGAAGCTAACACTTGCTTTTTAGTTTTTTGCTTGTTTTTTGCAATAGTAATTATAGGAGTGATGATAAGCGGGATGTCTCGTATGTTGCCACAGTGATATGGAATCGGTCAAGGAGGTGATGTGGTAAATTTTTCTTCTTAGGAATTCTTGGGAATTTTCTTGGGGAGGAGGCAGTCCAAGCAGCTTGTTGAATTGAAGTAGTAAAGAAAACGACGGCATAGTCATCGGGAGTTTTCAGGGATATGTCGAGGTCTATGGTCAGAGGAAAGTTCGTGTACTGTAAATTCAGTGTCAAGTTACGTATCAATTTTAGCCAAATTAGGACTTATATCAAAACTATCATTCATTTTTATGAATGATGAAGTAAAAATAATTTCGGTGATAAATTTTCTTAAAGTTAATGATTTGCTAAACAAACTCCCCCCCCCCTAAAAAAAAAAATAGTAATGAGGTAAATGAAACGAAGATTAGGTGACCTCGGAGTTTCACGCCTCTAAGCTCTGAATAACAACAACAATGAAACAATCGATTTGAATTTTAACACTTTATTTCGCATAAATACTTCCTTGTTTTCCATATCAGCTATAGAAACATTGAAAATCAAACAGTGTCAGTTGTAGGTGCAAAGAAATATATTTTATTATCCAATTCATATATATACCAATTCATAAAATACAGCCCACTGCATAAATAAATCAAATTTTGCCTATTTTGAGCCCATTAAGAGTTATTTGCCTTAATTAAAAGTTGAAAAATTGCCTAAACAGTACTAGTACTACCCGTGTTTATTAAGCATCCCACTCCACCTCTCATTTTAATGATTGGCAACAAGCAAGAATTACCTCTATTATTATTGCATGTCACTGTGCGGTCGCTGCCCTGCAGGCACACATCGCAGATTCCCGCTCGCTTGCTTTTTCCTGCTGCCACATATCATTAGCCGCTCCACTGAGTGCTCCTTCCTCCTTCGTCACCGTTGCTTCCTGGTTCTTCCTCTTCCGTGTCCTCCGAAAGCCCGCTTCTCCGAGCTATGCTAGGGTTCTTCCTCACCTTTTGCATGTTGACCTCTATCGGCTCATGCTGTGAGTTTGAGTCGCCAATTGAACCTTAAGAATGGTTGACAGAGATACCATCCTTGATTCTAATTCACCAGCACTCATCATTTTGCTCGTCTTCTCAGTGATGAGGTTGTACTTTAACAGAAGTACTCCGGTATACTACCCACTGTTATGGCGACCGGAACTCTCTGAACGTCTGAAAAATATTTTCTTCAGCGGTCAGTCTGCCTCCCTCAAAAGCCTTCTTCAGCATCTCCTTGATTACCCGTCATGATGCCTCCTCGTCTTCTTGTATCAGTTTCAGAATACTTCTTTTTCATCCTACATACCAAGGCTGCTTTCAATGCTTCGGCATCTCCCAGGTTAACCAAGTTCTCTGACAGTTTCGCCTCTATTCTCGCCTACCTCTCCACCGAAGCGCTCCTTATCGCCCTCCTTAAATCCTGAGTGGCCGCTGCTCTTTCTTTCATCCATTCTAATTCATTAGCATGCGCTTCCGCCAATGTGTCCCTTGTTGGCGGAGTGATTTCCTGAACCTGGGGGATTACTTGAATTTAGGGATTTCTGAGGGGGGGGGGGGGAGAAAGGACTTCTGTTGCGTTTGATACTACCGGGTTAGGAATGCCATCTGCCACTATTTCAACTCTTCTTCACTGCTTGCGGAAGGAAGAGAAAAGAAACAAACGAAAGAAGAGTGAAATAAAAAAATAGGTCACTAATTACAGAATATTGACAGTGTTGATGGTTTCGACACCACTTATGAGAAAGTAGAATAAAATAATAAAACGAAAGGAAAGGGGTTTAGATATAAAATACACGGCTTTAGAAACAATACTGTTTTATTTGTAAAATAACCCTCCTTATATATATATTTAAGGGTTTATTTACATTCTGCTGATACTTCCCAACTCCTGTCCTTATCTTTATATATATATATATATATATATATATATATATATATATATATATATATATATATATATATATATATATATATATATTTGTGTGTGTGTTAGTTTAATTTAATTTGTAGAACTGACAAATAGTAACAAACTAACTAGTAAGCTAAATTTTGGTTAATTATAGCTATAAGAAATTTCTCAAATATTTATTTATATTTTAGGGAATAAAATATTGGTTGTAAATTTTAATCTGATTTAAGAAAGAGGCTTCTTTCTTCTTGTGTGATTCAATATTCTGTTACTTGCCTACTATGTTAGAAAATAATATTTAGTTATTCTGTTTTCAGCTTGAAGACACAATAATGATAGGAAATGAGAAGAGAGCCTGGAAAGATTTCTCAAAATCCTGGGGCAAACGAGCCTGGGGGGATCTTCAAACAGGTTGGGGCAAACGATATTTTGATGAATACCAAACCGCTGATTGGGACAAGAATGATAACAAAAAGCGAGCCTGGAGCAATCTTCATTCTTCCGGATGGGGAAAGAGAGCATGGTCCGACCTCCAATCTACCGGCTGGGGCAAGCGGGGATGGTCTGACCTACAATCTGCTGGATGGGGAAAGCGAGGATGGTCTGATCTGCAATCTACTGGATGGGGAAAAAAAGCTTGGTCTGACTTGCAAACCAGTGGATGGGGTAAGCGGTCATGGTCTGACCTCCAATCCTCAGGCTGGGGAAAGAGATCTAAACATGAAGATGTAAGTAGGAAATTGTAGTTTTGATCCACTTAGAGTAAACACTTTATTTAATTTGATTCTTAGATTTAAACATCCTTATCTTAGGACGGAGAAGGTAGCACCAAATTGTATGAGGAATACATTGTATATACAATTGTAATCGTACAAAATTGTACAAATACTTTTACAATCTATGTACAATGTATGTACTACCTAATAAAAATAATAATAACAATTAGACATTCCTCTTTTAAAATTCGTTTTCTATGATAAATATAATGCTGGTTATATTAAGAGTTTTTCATTGTATACTTATTAAGAAAACTGGTAATGTTTGATGCAATTGCAACCATTACTGATATCAGCTTTTCTAAGGCGGTTTGGAGTTCTTATTAGAGCATCTTTTCCATATTTCTATGTATTCCATATAGGAACCGATATAATGATATGTATTACTTACTGACTTTCTAGGCGCAACAACCTACTAATAGTCATAGTCTCTAAAATCAACCCCCGCCAGTCGTCTTGTTTGTGTGCTGGTGCCTTCCAGTTCCTGAAATCCAGCATTATCTTGGAATCATGGGAAACTTTATCTTCCCATCTTCTTACAGTCTAGCACAAAAACAAAAAGTCATGTGATTGTGAAATTGCATATTTAAGGTATTTATATGTCTGTGATGTAACAGCAACATTTTCACCAAAATCGACAAACCGGAAGTGGTATCAACGGTCAGACACATTTTTACAATTTTCTCAAAAACGGCTCTTACGATTTCGATTAAACTCGATGATCGTTGTATAATTAAGTAGTCTTTAATATCATTTAAATCTTATCCCCATTGATGTCACTTTACAGGGTTTTAATGTCCAATGTTCAATATGTCTTCCTCTGAAGTATCTTTAATTTGGTTTATTTTAAGTAATTTACTATCTCACATTGTCAGGAGTTACGAAAAAATGGTGAAGAAAACATTTGAAAAATATTGATAATTGAAAAATACAGGAAAAGGTAAAAATGTATATTTAGCTCTACAATGAATCTCCGGAAATAATAGCAAGAATGTATACTATAACAAATCGTTGGAAAGCGGAGAATTTGAGAAAAAACAACATTTATTTGAAAAAGTCGTAGAAGGTAATGAAGAGTGACGAAAAATTATAAATAATAATTTGTGAAAGCTAATATTATTTAACGAAAATCACATGTATCCTAGAAAATTTACTAACTAAATGTAAACTTTATTTTTTTTTTTTTTAGTTTGAAAAAAGTATTTAATATCCATCTAATCAAGGCCATTGTTGATTGATGCCATTGTTTTTGATGACATTGTTTTAAAAACTATTTCATAGTACTTATGTGAAAGAAGAAGCGAAATATAAAAATATTTCAAGGATGTACAAATTATATTATATAGCCAATAAATTAATAATATTACAGAAATAATTTAATTAAAAATATTAAAAAATAAGTTAAGAAATGTTAATAAACTAATAAAATAAGTAAGAAAAATTAAACTTATCTGCTCCTGGAAACCTGGAGACGGCTGCAGGCACACAAGGGACTACTCCATTGGTAATGCAGTACAAAGATGGTGCAACTTCAAAAAGCACAAACGGCGCTGTGAACTTTGCCACAGCCAAAGCACGACTGACTCGCTACTCGACTTATGTTACGATTAATTGAACTTGAAGATTGATTAGACACTACTACATTTCTAACTCGCTACTCGACTTATGGTAAGATTAATTAATGTTGAAGACTGATTAGACCCCACTTGACTCGTTACTCGACTCATCACTCAACTCGCTACTCCATTTATGATATAAAAAAAAAATATTGAGGATTTGTCAGGCATTGCTCGACTCACCGTAGGTAAGTTAGAATGTTATAAGTCGTTGTTAGAACATATTAATATATCTCATCGTTAAGATATATATTTCATCGAAATAATATATGTATAATTGATTGCTACAATATGTGTACACAATATTTTTACAATATTATTACTATGACATATATGTATGTATAGATCGTCGTTACAATATATGTATATATTCATTATTACAATATCCCATATATCGTTAAATGCTATAGTATATGTAAATATTTTGTTGCAACAATTATATTTATATTTGGTTGCTACAATATATGTATGTAAGATTGACAGGATGTGACAAGATGAGACAGGCTCAAACTATCGGACTTAAAGATAGTAGATTAATAATTTATTGTCGTAGACATACTGAAAATAAACTGGTTGGAGTGTTCAGTCAAAAAGTAGCAGAGACAAAATAAATAAATTATATTTATTTTTATTTGTGCCGTTATTTCAGCGCAATGTTCAGGCCTTCATCTTGGCTAAGAAAATAAGATAAAATACACGGTGGGCCACACCCTCCCCCCATCATTCCCAATCCCTCCTCACATAACCATAAATGGCATATCCCACAAAAAAAAGTGAACGCACTGACCCAAAATGGCGTCCAAAGATGGCGGACTGACGCCTTTGACTTTAGTTAGTTTTTTGGCCACTGATAATCAGAATCCGGCTTAATTTCGTCATAGTTGACCTTTTATTAAAGCTGGATAGCCAGAGAATAATGTTTAACCTCTTATTATCATTCAAACTGCTGATCCTCTTTTAGCAGCCCATTGAAATAATATGTCCCATTTTCGGGAGACTATACACAATTTAAATTATCTCTAAGAATCAGTTAATATGCAAAACGAAGTGTTAAATTGCAAACGTTAAATAAAAAATTCAAAATATTCAGGGAAGTATTTTCGAATTACTGTCTTGAGACAGATTGTAATATTTTTTAATAAATAAGTTTAAAAAAAAAATTATTCGTTAATACAATCAATATGATCTACCGAAGTTATTATTATAACAGCATAACTATGCCATTTAATAGTAATGAATGAACTGGCAGAGGCCTGTAGGCACCAACGCCAGTACCGGTTTTTCCGCCGATTATGTACATTATGTACACTGCTTTAGTTATTTAAAAAAATTATACAAGTGTTTTGGAAAGACAAATGAATTTTCTTTTTCCATTAAATGAAACACTTTTTCCGTTATTTCTGGCCGCTTAATTACAAACGAGACTTGATTTTCTACTTGAAAATTCTTGTTGAAAACTTTGACTTTACTGGTGGTTTTTATAGTCTAAGCCAACCATTTTTTCATGTTTTATTATTTTCTGACTAACCAGCTTTAATAAACGTCCAACTATGACAAAATTAAGGCAAATGTTGATTCTTAGTGACCAAAAAACTTTATTTTTTTATTTTTTTTATTTAGACATACAATATTCTGTCACAGGGACAATAATTATATTGATAAATGAACACATTCACACCGTATATACAATAAAATAAAATAAAATTAACAAAGTAAAACAATAACTAAATAATAATAAATAAAAACTATATACAATATAAAATAACCTAAATATAAGTAAATTAAAAACATAAAAATACAATCATACCTATATATAATATATACAATCAGGCGGGGAACCCAAATCCCTGTGCTAGTCTCTCAACCTCCTCACCGGTGTTAAAGCCGGTGGAGTTTGAGCGAGAGCGCTTTAGCCACATACACTCATGTCTTGAGTGGAGAATCTGGCCATTGCCAGAACTCCAAAATAAATACTATAAAAGATCTCTGGGCCACTGCCGCTTCAACCTTCGAGGAGGGTTGTAGGGATGAGTGGAACTAGATAGGGATTGGGCTAGGGGATTTGGATGATTGATAACGTTCTGATGGAATTTTGAAAATTTTTCAGGGATAAGGTCAAGGACAAATGGGATATTAAGGTCATGATGTAGGGTTTTGTTGGTTACATAGAACGGAGCATCGACTATTGTTCGGAGGACTTTGGATTGAAAGGATTGGATGCGTTTGATGTTAGAGAACTTTGCTGTCCCCCAAAGTTCAAGTCCGTAGGTCCAAATAGGTTTCAGGATTGTCTTGTAGATCAGTAATTTGTTGTCAATTGAAAGATTTTCTGGTCAGTAGTCTGTATAATTGGCCGTATCGTCGGTTAAGTTCTTGTCTTTTAAGTCTAGTATGTGGGTTTCACGTTAGTCTTCGGTCTAAGACAAAGCCAAGACACCGGACTGTGTCTGAAAAAGGAAGCTGGATGGAATTAAAGTGGACTGATGGACAGGATCTGCGGCGGAGTGTGAAGGTAATGTGTTTGCATTTGGATTCGTTTACTTTGATGCGCCATTTGTTACACCAGTGCTCAATCATTTAGAGGTGCCTTTGAAGATTTAAAGATGCTATTTCTGGATCTGAGCTGGATGATAGGATGGCGGTGTCATCAGCAAATGTTGCCAGGAAGGTATTGGGATGGACAGGGATATCGGCGGTAAAAAGGATATAAAGGTCGGGGCCCAAGACGCTACCTTGAGGAACACCGGCTTCAATTGGTTAGGAGTCAAAAAACTTAATAAAGTCGTGAGTCCGCCTTCTACTCCACTCAATTCATATCGGATCTCATCAAAGAGGAAAACGATCGCATTATTTGTCAATTTCGATAATCACAGAATCGTCACTCCGTCTTGTTGGATTAATTTCCCTTCGACGTAGAGCAAACTGTGTCTGGGTAATGTGTACAAGTCTTGGTGTTGCAAACTGACACGAATCTCGTCAATAGATGACCGTTTTGACGAGGCGTAGGGATGATGGGTGTGAAGTTCTATGCATTATATTGAATTTCTAATCGCGGGACAGCTCTCCAAGTTTAATATATATATTTTTTTATAGTATCCTAGTGATTGAAGAAATCGAATATTACTCGAACTCAAAGATGTGCACTCTTCAACAACCGTTTTGATGAATAATTGGTAACATTGCATAGATAATCTTTACTCTACAAGTCTTCCATTCCATCTAAGGACAAGGCTTATCACTATCTTTCTTGATAATGCCTGTAGTGTATTTACAAGTTGATTTTATTAATTTGGTTGGACTTAACTATGTCTATGTAGTAGAGTTTTTCTAAGATCT